TACTCTTCTTATAGATTGATGTTTTAGGATGGAACTTCAGGTCTTAACATGCTATCAGAGTCGAATCGGTCCATGGTGTGGATCCTCTTATGAAAAATCATGACACAATTATAAAAAAGTGACAATAATGAATCGCTGAAAAAAATGAATGACGGCACGATCCAGAGGAAGTGTCTTGTCATGAGTAAGGGTGTTGAATTTACACCTGATACTTTTGAAGGAATTAAGTGCTATATTAAGATATAAATTACTCCTTCTATCAGTTTGACCTTTAGGAAGAAACCCCGAAACCTAAATTTGCTTAAACCCAACGGTTAAATATGTAGTTAAATTCTCCCAAATCATCTTAGAAAATTTCTCATTAGAATTCGCAGCATTTTTCTATGTTCTGCTTTTTATACTGTAATATCTTTCCTATTCTTCACCATTTTTAATATCTAGCTAACAGAGCCAATGTCCTTGTATTAATTAATAATAATATACTCAATAAGAGTCGTTCTTCATTATCTTTTAGTATACATATCATCGAGTCAGCTATTACTCTACTCTATTTTTTTTTTTTTATAATCCAGGTGTCGGGGTTTACACTCCCATAATTCAGGAGTCTATGAACTACCTTCCAAAGCCCCTAAAAAGTTAAATCCGGATCTGATCACAGTCAGCCTCGTCAGTACTAGCTCCAAAGGATGAATTCAGCAGGACTTACATCACCTTTCAGGCTCCTCCTCCCACCACACGAACCCGCTACCTTCATTATCATCATCTCCCTTCTCAGCCGTTGAGCAACTCCGTGAAGGTAGGAAGAATCATTGGGAGCAAGAACTCCATCATCTCCCCTTGGTGGGAATTGAACCCAAGACCTCCCACAAAGGCCATCTCCAACAAGCAACATCTTCAACACCAAAATGGTGTATTTGGCAAAAAAATGCTCCAACAATGACACTAAACTTTACACCATTACACCAAAATGGGGGAGGAGGGAATGCTTTACGCTATGTAATTTTTTTTCTTTCAAATGTGACCCAAAGTTTTGATTATTATAGTTTTGACCCAATTTTAAAACAACAATTTAGGAAGTTTTACTTGGACTGAAATTTGTTGGTCCGGTCTGATTTGGTCTGGTCTGGTCTGAATTGATGTGGCCTGGTCTGATTTCTTTGTATTTTTATAACTACCCAAGTTTGGTCTAATCCGGTCTGATCTGATCTGAAACAAATAACAGTAAAAGTAAAAACATCCTTATACAACAATAATAAAAACAATTAATCTGATAAAAAAATATAATAACATTTAAATCACACAATATTATAAATAAAGTTTCAAATCCAAACAACCTAATAACAGAAAACAAATGGTACTTAAGAAAATAACATAATTAAAATTACAATTAATAACACCATTATAATAAAAATTAAAACATAATTAAAAACATACATAGTACATACTAATTTAGAAATTAGTAATCATTCAACCCGCATCCAGAGCTTCCAAGCCCATCAAATAGATTCCTAAATCCAGCTGATGATCCTTCTTCTTGAGGTTTTTTTTTGTAAAATTCTTGATCTTTCTGCAATGATATACGCTCGCGTTTGTGGATCGTGAATAGAATTCAAATCCATGAACATAATTTTATCTTCTCTTTTCTGTTCTTTGTATGTCATGTTTTGTCGCTGGATTTGCAATTGTTCTTGTCGATCCAACGATGATTTCTTCAGCATTTCTATAAATTGCTCATTGTCGCTCTTAACTGACTTAAGCAAATCAATAGTGTCTTCATCATTTTTCTTCTTCAATTTTGCTTTTTTTACCCCTATTGATCGTTTTGAAAAATCTGACCCGGAATCAGTATCAACTTCTTTATTGAATGAAGATGACAATCGAGGTGATGAGGAAATTGAAGATGGTGGATGGGAGTCTGATTGGGAAGATTCGTAATTAACTTGTCTTTTTTTGGAGCAACATGTCTTGCAGTTGACAGATTATCTTTAAATTTTTCAAAACTTTTAATGTGATCCCAAACGTGATCAAATGTAAAGCCTTTAGAATATTTTGGATCTTGAATAAATAAAACTTTAGCAAACATAGGCGCTCATAACCAAATTCACGACAAAGATGCTCATATTGAGCGCCGCAATGCTTTAATTGATCATTTGTGGGAACAATTCTCAAATTATGATAACTAAACTACGAATATTTATTTAATCTATTGCTTTAAGTTTAAGTAGTACTTTACTAATGACGTACAAATTATTATAATATTATTGTAATGTTTAATTTTATGTGCTTTTAGCTTGTATTTGTGAAATATTGATTATTGTGTTTTAATTAGTGAAATGAGTGAAAATACATATTAAAATGATGTATTTTAGTTTGTATGTGTGAAATAATGTGTGAAATGTCAAAATATTAAATGAGGGGCTAATGTATAAATATAAGATAGTTAGATACTTAAATAGAATAAAGGTAAAAAGTTAGTAAAAAGAATAAAAAAAGAATATTCTTTTTTTGTGATGAAAATGGTGTAAACTGTTGGAGATAAAATAATGTTTGATGTGATGTTTACACAATTTTAGTTTAAAAATGGTGTTAACTGTTGGAGATGGCCAAAGGAAAGACTTGGGGGTGGATGGTCATCCATTGGACTACACCCACCAACCCTCTACTCTATTAATTATATCTTGATGAAGTTGTACTGCACAAGTCATACTCCCATACATAGGATGTTTTCTTTTGGACTGAACTTTGCTGGTCTGATCTGATCTGATCTGATTTGATCTGATCTGATCTGGTTTGTTCTGGTCTGGTCTGGTCTGGTAAACGTTTGATCTAGTTATGTGTATTTTATAACTATGGAAGTCTGGTATGAGACTGAAGATGTTAAAATATACATGTGTGGGTAGAAATATACTATATAGCATGAATGAAGATGCTCTTAGAGCATCCAACTGTTAGTTAATCGTCCTTATGGCTTAATTTGCCACAGAAGCATTTGCAAAAAAAAAATCAAAAGAAATTGTACTCAATTAGCTATAACTTCCCCTCTTTGTTTATTATTATTGATAATAACTTCTTATGTAGTAATTTTCTTTCTCTAGGCTAGTAGCTCATTTTCGTCAATTAGGTTTCTCAGACAAAAGAAAAAATTATACTTCAATTAATGGTAAGCTATTGAGGACAAACATTTGGTCGAGACCAAATGATGGTTTCAAATTCTGATGAGCAAAGGAGCAGTGAGTTGTAAAAAGTCAGATGCCTATGGATTTGCACGCGTGGTAAAACGTGATGCACAACACTAGAAAGCATTTCAATTTTGCTTTGGGTACACACTTATCATACACACACATACACACTATAAAAAGCCTAAAAAATTACTATTTTTTTACCCCCCTCTCCAACCACACGTGCAAAACAGAGTCTGCAAAACAACCCCACCCTCCCTCCTCCCTTCCCGCTTCTTGCTTTCTTTCTTCTTCCCGCAACAACACCCAACTGCACCGGTTGTCTTTGTTCTTCTCTTCAAACCAATGGATTTTGGTGGTATTGTGAACGAAACCATCATTGATACTACCGTGGACGACTTTTGGGCCGATTGGGATCAAACGATCGGTGGTTCTCGAGTTGAAGGACAAATTCCGGTGGCGGCGGAAGTTGATGGCGACTCGGCGGCGGCCGCCATGGACGACGTCCCTGAGCTTGGTATGAGTTCGTTTTGATTTCATTTGCTTTAAAGTAAATATATATGTGTTTGTTCTTCACAGACAATTGACTGTATTTGTGTAGTGTTTATGTGAATTGTATAATATGTCTGTGTGTATGTTTCAGTTGTCTGAGTGTTATTATACAACTGTGAAGTGTATTGACTTTTGTCTGTGTAAATAATGTTTTAAATTTACTTATGTCTGTGAGTACATGTACTTCTGTTTGAAATGTCTGTGTGTAAATATAATTGTGTCTGTGTAAATATATACTTCTGTCTGTGCGTAAATAGACCACTGCCTATGTGCTTAAATATACTTATGTCTGTGCATGTTGGTCAGATGGAGAAATTCAGCAAAATGAGAGTGGCGTTGGTTCTATAAAATCTCCAGAGGTTGGTATGGAATTTGATAGCAAAGAAGCGGTGTATGATTTTTACAAAACATATGAGAAGCGTTTAGGGTTTCCCGTAAGAACTAGGAGTACCACCAAACACAAAAATGGGGTGGATATAGTTGGAGTGTTACTAGAGTGTTCTCATGCCGGTAGTAGATCTAGTAGGTCAAAAATCAATTGAAGCCTCAACCTTCAATGCAAATGGGGTGCGGAGCAAGAATACGAGCACACACAAATTATGAGGGACGTTGGGAAATATCAAAAAACTGCCTTGATCATACCCATCCCATGAGCCCAACAAAGGCTCGCCTATTCCGGTGCCATAGGACTTTGACTCGCCAAGCAATGAGGCAAATTGCAATCAACGATGTCGCCGGAATACGACTTCATAAGACCTTCAATGCAGCCGTTGTTGAAGCCGGTGGATATGACCAACTTCCTTTTATTGAAAAAGATTGTAGGAACTACATTCAAAAGGTAAGACAACTTAGGTTAGCGAGTGGTGATGCCATGGCAATTCAAGAGTTCTTTGCTAAAATGCAAGCTCAATGCCCCGGATTTTTCTTTGTCCATGACTTAGATGACGAATCTCGATTGCGTAATGTGTTTTGGGCCGACAACCGATGTAGATATGCGTACAAAGAGTTTGGAGATGTCATCACTTTTGACACGACCTACCTCACGAATCGGTATGACATGCCTTTTGCACCTTTTGTGGGAGTTAATCATCACGGTCAATCAATTTTGCTTGGATGCGGATTAATCTCTAATGAAGATACGCAAACATTCGTATGGCTCTTTAAAGCATGGCTAGAGTGTATGGAAGGACGTGCTCCAATGGGCATTATTACGGACCAGGACCGTGCAATGCAAAACGCCATCCAAATTGTTTTCCCAAATACAAGACATAAATGGTGTTTATGGCATATTATGAAAAAGGTACCGGAAAAAATGGGAGGAATTACAGAAAAAAAAAATCTTGGATGCTATTCACGAATCGATTTATGACTCTCAATATGTTACAGAACGCTGCTACCATAACTCCGCAAACACCGGATCTGAAAATAATACAATTCATACAGACATTACATTTCTATGCACAGACAAATTGTATTTGAGTACAGACATGAGTGTACCTTGAGTGTTGTTGTGGAACATCATCCACTGCCTCCGCTCTCCAAGGATGTGAATGGGCTATGGAGGTAACGACAGGGTTGCATTTGATGACCCGAAACAGGAGTGGAAGTCGGATACACAAAAGCCTCACAGATGCAACCGACCTACTCGTCTTCAAAGAATCGTATACCCGTACGACGTTATTGAGTAGGTCAATTTCAGATAGCACCCAATGTTTTCCATCACTGTGCACAGGCATGAACACCTGCATTAAAGTAAATAAAGTAGTTATTAATCAAACTAACTTTTTCATACGTATTATTCAAACCAACCTTTTCATATCGACTCCAATCCATTTTCTTGAGTAATCGGTCCCCCTTCCATTGTTTGTCATCTGCTGCATCCTTCTGTAAAAGTTGGTACTGGACCAAAAACAAAAGTACAGACAACAATAGTATGAAAGCACAAACATTAATGTATCAAGGCACAGACAAAACGTATCAAAACCGCAGACATAATATAAAGTTTTAATGAATTACCGCGAACAAAGGGCTCATGAGTTCATAGGCCGCGGTCTTTATGGATTTGCGGAACAGAAGAACTAGAGCATCCAAATGCTTTAAACAAAAAAATAAATCCACAATCAAAGCATTCAACTAAAATAGTGTAAAATGAAATACTTCTTATTATGACTCACCTCGCTACTTAGCCATTCATTTTCATCCATTAGCTCTCAGAAGAATATCCTATTTGTCGGGTAAGATGATGGAATATCTAGGTGAAGTACGCTAGGTTCAATACCATCAATTTCCTCCACCCATGCCTTGAAAGAATCATACTCACCATCACGTCCTCCAACCTTAAGCCTCTTAGCCGCCGGCGCAATGAATGGGCTACAAATGTACTTAGATTTGAACCGCTTTCTCTTCCTCAATTCTTTCATACTCGCCTCTTCAATGGCCTTCATGTCTACCCCAGCAGTTCCAACATCATCACCAACCACATCCCAATCCAAGCTTTCGAATGGAACTGTCAAAGCAGGGATCTTGTCATCTTCAACCTACACATTTATAATTTGCATGTGTACTTCATGTGTATTGTCTGTGTGAACTATGAACTATCTGTGTAAATGAAAACAATTTGGAAATCGCAATGTGCACCTCTTTTAGGCACATCAAAAGATTTGTGGGAGTGTGACACTCCTCATACATGTGGCATGTCATACTTTGCTCAGATTCCCACTTCAACTTTGAAATGAAGGTAAACCTCATTTAGGAATGATTAATGCAAAATCTTTCTTAACCAACAACAATGTAAATATCACAAGCAGTATGACTGTATCCTTAAACATACCTCGTCCACTACAATCTTTACTGGATCTATTTCCGAATTTTGTGCGTCACTATCAACAGCAATAGAATTCTCCCCTTCAGGCTAAGCATTTACACACATCACAGACATATAACATTTACACACAAACAACAAAACATATAAATACAGCCAAAACATTGGTAGTTACAGACACTACAAACACATTAAACAACAAACCTCAGTAGCAACATTGACAATAGGATCTGCACACACATTTTGATGTTCAGTAACATCAGGACAAGATTTATCCAGTTCACCCTAACCATTTGGTATTTCACAGACACTTATTAGTTTTGCACAGACAACACGAAATGTGCATACAGGAAAAAAATTGATACATACAGACACTAAAAATAGCACACAAACTAGTTAAACAACATACCAAATGTTGTGGTTCACCAACAACAGCATTACTCTTCTCCCCTTCAGCATCTGTTGCACCAACTTCATTTTGTTCTTCCAGCTCACTTGGGGCAGAAGGACCCCCCTTACAAACCAAGAGAAGCGTATAGTAATTTTACATACAAACATATATGCAGTAAATACAGACACAACAAAATACTACACAGACAAATGATGTCTATACCTTTTCCTTTAAAGCCTTGTTGACTGTATCAATAACCTGAACCAACAAGTGTTTCAGTTCACCAAGCTCCTCTTCCACTTTTTTGTCCAGCCTTTGAAGACTGCTTTTGATCTCATCAATGTCCAAACACATTGCTTGAACTCTTTCCCTTGTTTCAACTTCAATATTGTCTTCATCTTCAGCATCGGAAGAAGGGGGTGTACGCAACTCCTATGAAAACATGAACATGATTTCGTATTATAAATATATATATTAGGGGAGAATTATAATTGACAAAGTAAGAAGACTTACATCAACAAAGACAATTTCTCGTATCTTAGATGACCGGAATTTCCCATGACATGACCAATTTAGCATTGGGACTTCACGATTACCAACACGGGTGCCAAAGTGTTCCCCAAATTTAGGAATTTTTTCATAAGCCCACACCTAAGTGACAAAAAGTGTCTGTGAGCATTTAAAAAGCTGTCTGGGAAGGACATAAAGTGACTGTGAGCATTTAAAAAGCTGTATGGGAAGGACAGCAAGTGTCTGGGATCATACCTGTAGGACCAATGGCAACCCGTAAACTGAAAACTTGGCGTTTTTATATTCAGGGTTGTTAGCCTTACTGTCCAAGAACTTCATTGGCTGTCCATCAAGAAGACCCTTCAGATGTGTGACAAGCAAGTGGTAAGCATCTCTGGACCACGGTTCCTTCTTAAACTCCTCAAAGTCGTTCGCAAGCTGAATCGACCTCCGGTTGATCCTCGTTGTTCTGTCTCTTCCCATCAACACGTTCTCAACTACGAAGAGGGATGCAAGCTTCACCCCTAGCATACCATTCCTTTTTTTATTTCCACCTAACCATTGAACCTTCTCCTTCATCATCTGGAAAGTGATATCCAGTGATCCATGAAAGTATGTATTAGCAATCTCTCCTGGTTCTTCCTCTTCTTCGGCTTGTTCATCATCGTTGTCACTATCTTCAGCCACAACAGGCCTCAGGGCTGCCACAGGTAATCCGGTTATGCGGCAGAAGTCGTTGTACGTGAACTCTATAAGTTTACCCTCAACATTGAACCAAAGCTCATCATCGGGTTGCTGCTTCACCAGCCGTAACAACAACATGTGGACTATTTGGCCACAAAACTGGATATCAGGAATATCAATAAAGTGACCCCATGGTGTCTGCCGGAAAATTTCCAATTGTTTCTTAGATAGTATCGCATGAATGTACTTAGAAGCACATTTCACATCCGAGCACACAGAATACTGTGCAGGGAAATGCTTGCTCAAAGGAATCTGGAGTTGAAGTGCCCTATCATTGTAAGAAAATAAACCATAAGTACACAGACATATGTCAAATTACACAGACAAGCTTTCAGTTACATACAGACAAACAATCACGCACATAGACATATGTTTTATTTGCACCTGCTTTTGTCTTATAGCATTGTGTAGCAGTACAGACATCATATTAGTCACACAAACATATCAAAGAGTAATACAGACAATCATATAAGTCTTCACACACAAATAGAGGCAGGGCCAATTACATATACGCTCACACAGACAAGCATTTAGACAAATCTATCTTCATATAAGTCTTCACAGACAAATAAAGGATACATACCTTTCGGTCATGGTTGATAGCGGGGTTCGCACCATTTTCGACGGAGACCGGGAGGAGGGTTCGCAGCTTCAAATGCGCAGCGACAACAGTCTTAGACTGTGGTTGACGGGGTTAGCGGGGTGGAGGGTTTCCTTCGACGGGGGGGCTACAGGGGAGAAGGAGGCTGGTCTTCGACTGGGGTTGACGGGGTTAGCGGGGTCGAGGGTTTCGAACGTCGGGGGGGTTACAGGGGAGAAGGCTGGTCTTCATCGGGGGATTAATCGGAAGAAACAGAGCAAGGGAGAGGGGAAGCAACGAAGAAGGTGAGGATGTGGGAAAAATTTGGAGCGGGTGTTTTTTTGAAGTGTTTTGAAATTGATTGAGGGGAAAGGGGGGTAAATTATTTTTGGGGGTACATAGGTGTCGTAGGAGTTAAGTTGTGAGTTGTTGGATCATGTTTAAATAAGTTAAGAATATTTGGAATACCGAGATGATCAAAAAATGATTTGGCCGGGTGATTCAACTAGGGAGAATTCCCTAAATAGGAGTAAAAAAAATTGAAATTCCAAAATATGAGTATCATGTTTTTTATTCCTTGAATAGGAGTAAATTTATGCCAAGTTTGGCATTACTAGGGTTTAAAACACGGCATTTTCTTCCAAACTTGGCAGATTACTCCTATTCAGGGAATAAAAAACATGATACTCCTATTTTGGAATTTCAAAACGTTTTTGCTCCTATTTAGAGTAATTTCTATTTCTAATTCAACTATTACTCCGTATTATACGTCTTCTGTCCTAAAAAGATTGGCGAAAATTGATTTTCACGTAGATTAATAAAGTAAAAATTGTGTTGTTAAAATTTGCGCAGAAGAGATAATTAATTTTAGTCTAACGATTTGATACTCCATATATATATATATATATATATATATATATATATATATATATATATATATATATATATATATATATATATATATATATATATATATATATATATATATATTCAATCATATATTCAATAGGGGTTTGACTAACATAGTAAGATTTGATATCGATTAACAAGAATCGCCTTTTTAAATCATTTCACATAAATAATTAACCATAGGACTATAGGAGCATGCATGTGGACCGACCATTTGGGAAAGTGTTAAAAATTATACTCTCTGTCCTAGAAAATTCTTTTCAGTTTTACTTGGCACGGATATTAAAAAATTAGAATATATGTGAAAAGGTGAAATGAATATGAACCACACAAATTATCCAAAAATGGTAAGTGGAAAGATTTTTTTGGGATGATTCAAAAAAGAGAGTGAGAAGAATTTTATGGTAAGAAGGGAGTATTCACAAATACGGAGTATTTCAAAGTAAACATCACTTAGGCCAAAAGGTTCGCCAAACCCAAACGGTCAAGTGTTGGACGGTTAGTTGGACAATTTAGAGAAAATTAAGTAGTGCAGGGGTTATTTATTTATTGACACAAATATTTTCTAGATTTTCAAAAAAATGAAAAATTGGAAAAAGAAAAATTGGGAAACGTGTTTACTGAAAAAATTGCTGGAAAAATAGAGAAAGGAAAACAGGAAAAAGCATTTACCAAATTTGAAACATGTAGATGATGCAGTGCTTCTGTAATGAATTTGCATACTTACACCTAGTTGTGGATCCGGCCCTGCTCTGGCCTCAGTTCCTGTTTGATCGACGACCGGGCAGTCCTGCTTAGGTCCGGCTGATGACCTGGTGGTCTGGTCCCCATTTTTAAATCATTTTTTCAAAGTGAAGAGTTTCAAAAGAGTCATTGGGGTTCCAGCCAATAGGAAAATAGGAGAAGAATTAGTCAAATTAACATGTTGTAGCAGATACTCTGGACAAATTCTGTCCCAACTTTCTTATACCCTGGACCAGATACTTTATTTGGGTTGTACTACGTCCGGTTCTAGACCGAGCCCGTACTTTCGGTCTTTCCATTATCGAGAGAAAAATTTTGATGAACATGTTTTCGGATTTGAAAAAGGAAACCTGAAAAATGAAAACAGAAAATTGAAAATAGTGAAACTGGAAAAATTAAAACAGAAAATTGAATAATAGAAATCAGAAAAGAAAACCAAAAAATGACCCTGTTAGTAAACGGACCCGTAATTTTTAGAGAAAATATGATTATTCAAATTGTTCGTTATATAGAAATCATACTGAAGTTTAGCTCTTATATAGTACAACAAAAACTACAACAACAACAACAATAACATTGCTCCAGTGACAAAGGCTCGGACTTATATGAGGTAAGGGGATCGAGTACTCAGATGTAAGAAGTATTTAAGAACAAATAACTCTTTCTCAATAACCCATTTTGAAAGACGCACCAAGAAAGGGAGGAATTTGTGCTTACACGAATTGAAGACGACCCGAGAGAAATGTTTTTTGGAAGAATACGATTCATTGAGACCGGCCAGGAGGTTGTTGCTGAATTCAGCGGATATAAGCTAGAAAAAAAACAAAAGATCAATATATAGAATTATAGAGAGAGCATAATAATAGACAATACGAGCACTAAACCTAACACTCCCCAAACCCAAACATTTTGTAACTATCAATCTCAATCATGCCAACGATACTTCCACTTAACGCAAAGCTTTGTCGCGGAAAACCTCATTCTAAATGTCACATCAACCTCCACACACTTAGACTTTTCTAATACTCCCTTCTCCCTTTAAATTTTGTCACTTTCCATTTTAATCAATTATTTGTGGATTCTGTTATTTCTCTCTCCTCTGCACAAAGCTCAATCACACAGTTTTTACTTTATTATTCTCCGTGTCGGTTCAATTTTGACAAAGTTTTATGGGACGGAGGTAGTACGAAGTAAATCAAAAAAATATTGTTGTTTCGTGATTTTAGACCGTTAGAACGTTAACCAAACAATAGTAACACAATTTGGACTTTTACACTCATTGATTTTTTGTTATATATTCTATGACTATGCTAGGTGTACATACACATTTTATATACACACTTCTAGTTGTTTGTGTACATGATAGTTTCTGAAAGAGCTATAATTGTTTGTGTACAGGATAGTTTCTGAACGAGCTATCTATGTAATCAGAAAACTAAAAAGTGTGTATAAAATGTGTACAAATAATTCTTTTTCTATCTTCTAACCCCTATTATAGTTTGTGTATATATACTACAGAGTATATTAAAGTCAATATCATTAAATTGGGATGAAAACTGAACTTGTGATCTTTTTTATGAGGGTGTCGCAATAATGTCATCATACTATTAGAGACGCTTAATTTACTGGAAACTATTTCTCGGAAAAACAAACTAATGAAGATTGGTTTTAGAGTTAGTTTTAGAATCATTATTTCTTATGTGTTATTCTTGTGGTCAATTTTTACCAAGTATTTAACTTTTGTTTCAAATATTCAATTGTATACTTCGTAATAAATGAATTTGTAAATACGGTGAAGAAAAATATTTTAGCTATTTGTTCATATATTTTATATCATTTTATTCATCATCACATCATTACCCCTATACTAAAGCGCAAAGAGATGGTTTCTTGATGATCCATAGTGAAATTCGAATCAAAAATTGCATGGACTGACTACTGCTTCATAATAAAGAAGCGTAGACAGTTAAGTGAGTCATTTTGATTTATTCAATCATATTCTCAATCCAAGAAATAGTGAATCTTTGGCTCCATTGCAAATGATGGAATGATTCTATCTCATTTCATTAACAATTTTTTTTTAAATATATGCTTTTTTTCAATAGCTGGCAGGTTCAACGTAACCAATTCACGGCAATCAAACTTGTTCCAGAAAAATTTAACCCTATCAAACTTGTTCCACGACAAAAAGTGTAAATCATTCTCGAACAAGTTTGAAACAAAACTACATTAAATTTTTTAAGCTAAAAATTAACATTATTTTTTTAATTTGAAGTGGGCTGGAGCCTAGTTAGTTCCTCGAGCTCCGCCGGTGTTTCCGACTTTTCATTTAATAAAAACTAAAATGGTTGAAGATTAGTGATACCACAACCATTTTTATTTATACATTGGATTGAATTAATAACTCCAATATACTAGTAATTTATTCACTTAAACCATTTTAAAAGAACTCTTGATTTACATATTCATAAATTCATTAAATTGGAAATATGAAACAACAATTACCGAGTAACTGTGAACACATATGGGGAACTCTTTACGAAGGTACTATCAGTGGCGGAACCAGTTTCGTGATCTTGGAGGGGCACATTATCTTTAGAAATCTATGTACAAAATCGATTCATATGAATTCTTTGTCAAACTTGAGCCTGATTATCCACAACCACAAAAAATAACAAGCTCAGTGCATGGCTATAGCCCAAAATACACAATAGCAAAGCCGCTACGCCAGTCACCTCAAAACAATAATGCTCTCGATCAGGGGCGGAGGCAGAGCACTAGGCCGGGCTGGTCCGGTACAAAGAATATTTTTTGAAAAAAATTTACACAAAATTTTTTACCTTAAAAATTATGCCATTTTTAAAATTTGAGGTGGGCCATGGCCTAGGTTGGCCCACCCCTAGCTCCGCCCATGCTCTCGATCAGCCGCTAGACCTAGTGGTCGTCTGCGTTATTCACTTATTTCGGCCTAATTACGGCGAATTCCAAATAAACCCTCTGTAACACCCCAGCTTCGCAGGACCCGAGGTAGCTACTCTAGACCAATAGTACTTACGGTGAATTCCAAAGAAACCCTCTGTAACACCCCAGCTTCGCAGGACCCGAGGTAGCTACTCTAGACCAATAGTACTGTCCTCACAAACCGCCACTAGCCTTTTCCGCGCACTTTGTCCTCGCTCGTCGCGCCCTGAGAAACTTCCCAGGGGGTCACCCATCCCAAGACTACTCCCGTGCAAGCACGTTTAACTTTGGAGTTCTTGGCTAATGAGCTCCCTTAAAAGGAGATGCATCTTGTTGGTATGAGTAGTACTATTAATCCATTTAAATTAAATCACAAGTGTTACAATCACCCCACTTAGGAACGCAACGTCCTCGTTGCGCCCATAAACCAATCTCAATCATATCCTAGAATCTTTCCCCCTGCTAAGTGCCCGCCCGATATCCAACGGATCAGCACACTGTCGCAGGGTTGCTCTGATACCACCTGTAACACCCCGACCCCGTAGGACCCGAGGTAGCTACTCTAGACCAACAGTACTGTCATCACAAACCGCCACTAGCCTTTTCCGCGCACTTTGTCCTCACTCGTGCGCGCCCTGAGAAACTTCCCAGGGGGTCACCCATCCCAAGACTACTCCCGTGCAAGCACGTTTAACTTTGGAGTTCTTGGCTCATGAGCTCCCTTAAAAGGAGATGCATCTTGTTGGTATGAGTAGTGTTGGGATAATATGCCAGGCCCAGTGCCATCGGCCCATTATCCCCGAGCTTTGGCCCAACTAGGCCCAAGACGCAGTCTCACGAGCGGGAATCGCCCCTTGCTCATTTACTTATTTATCGGGCCGGTTCGCCCATTAGCTTGGACATGTATTATGTATTTGGGCCAAGCCCACGTAGGTTAGACTTTGGACTTGTGATGGATGCCTATAAATAGGCCATCACCCCCCTTGTATTCTGGACGTTATTTTTACTATACTGAAATGCTGCTAGTTTCTCTACCCGGATATTTTCTACCAACATTGGTGCTTTCATTGAGAGTTATCTCTCATTCTTCGGTAGGAACCGGTAGAGATTCAAGTGAGATTCCTAAAACAAAAATTAATAATCGTCACAAATTTCCAAAAATATGGACGAACGAGCCAAAATTCAACAAGAAAATCATCCCAACAAGTGGATTGCTACAAAACAAAAACGTGGAATCTCTTAA